CTTTCCCTTCCTCACCCCATCCCTCCAGGGGCTCTTCCTTGCCTCCTCTGCTCTCATGAGCTTGCAACTTTCCAGCCGCTATCTTGTTTCCACGCAGAACCTCGACATTGGGGCAGAGCTGGTGCGGCTGGGCTATGCTGCCTGGCGTCCCCAGGAAGATGAGGAAGGGGCAGCAGGGGATGGACCTCCGCGGCTGGTGAAGGATGCCACGGCAGAGATGCTGGTGAGTAAGCACCTGACCTTCAGCGGGATGGGAGAGGGCCGCTTGTCCTCCCATCCTCTCAGATGCAGCTTCCTGAATGAATTCAGCTGCCTGGTAGGGAACTAGCCCTTAGTTCCTCGAAGCGTTTTCTCCAGAGTCGGGACACTTCCTTCCTGAGCCAAGATGCAGTGGGATCTGGATGCAATTTGGCAAAAGCTCCTCTGTGATCCCAGTGTCTGCACTCTGTTCCCAGTCATGGAGGAGGCTCTAGATGCCAGGGACTGCAAATTGGATGCCACTTGGCTCTGGTGGAGCGGCTCCAGCAACGGGGGGAGTTTTGGCCCTTCCTGTATGGCGCTCTGTGTCATGGAGATGGGGGCAGCTTTGGGAGAGCTCTGGGGCAGGCAGATTGTCTGGGCAGCTGCTCACCACGCTGCCGTGCCGTGTACCCCTGTCCTGTGCCAGGAGCTGTGTTAACCCGGCTTTTCCCTGCTACAGGAGAACATCACGGGCGACTCCCTCGAGAGCCTCTTGTCAGAGCCCCGGAAAAGTCCTAATGAGACTTCCCTGACCCTGTCCTGTGTCAGTCTTTCAGGTAAGCTCTGCTTGCCCTCCTTGGGCAGACACAGACCTGAATCCTGTCATCCATGTGTCCCTTGACATGAGGGGTCAGTCCTGTGAAGGGTCAGGATGGCGGGAGGGTCTTGGATACCTGGAGCCTCTGCCCTTACCCTGTGTGGCACTGGAGCAAGTCGCATCTGTTCCTTTTCTCCCACATCTTGTGTGGTTTGGTGATAACTCTCCTGCCAAACACATAATTCTGCACCAAAAGGGATGATGATGGGGAAAGGAAAGAGTGAAGCATGAAGCTAAAGGAGACACTGCAAGTGGTTGTGTCGGCTTTTCTTAGCAATCTTAGTTGATTTTCCAGAACATGAGGATGGGATGTACGATGGGAACGAGCTCTGTGTGGTGCTGAGGAGTGGGAACCAGTCATGAATCCCAGAGATGGGGGGCTTGTAATGCAGCAGGAGGCTCTCAGTAGGGTCAGCCTCCAGCCCTGGGAAGCTGTCGAAATGCTGCAACTATTTCAGCTCTCCTTATGGATCAGCTCTGACTTTTCAGCTGAGGTTTCTGGCCTCTGGCTGCTGTGTTTCCGTGTGGCTGCTGCTGCCTGGAGCACTGGCCATGTCAGGAGTGGGTGGTGCGGGGTGTGTGCACATGGCATCGGCTTGCTGCTGCTGCATTGCAGCTCAGAGGTGCTCTTGGAGCTCTCCTTTAGCTGTGGGTAGGTTCATAGTCTCTGTGGGTTCATGGTCATCTTTGGAGGAGGAGTTTGAGGTCTATAAGCAGCAGGAGATGCAGAGCCCCCGCGTTGTCTCCACCCAGCTGCATTGAGACCTGCAAGTGCCTTGTAAGAGGCACCTCAGGGCTGAGCTCAGAGGGGACGCGCGCTCACTGGGACGTGCAAGGTCCCAACCCTTTCCTTAAAGGACAGCGAGAAGGAGGAGGGGAATAATCAGTAAAGGCAGAGCAGTGACAGGAACTGTGGAGATGCTCTCCATGCAGGGATGGCTCCTCATGGTTGCTGTCTGAGAGACAGGGGAGTCAGCCCAGCCTGCCCAACACACACCTTTGGCTTGGTAGATGAGTCCCCTGAGCAGCTCCGGAGCGATGTGGAGTCTGCCAAGCCGCCCTTCCAGCCGACCCTCGTTCTCCAGTCCGTGACCTTGGCTTCTTCCCGTCCTCTGAGGGACGGTGAGACCCAGCCTGGCCCCAGCTGCCCTCACCTGCCCAGCAAGCCGGTGGGCACTCAGCCAGATGCCAGGAGCCCTGCAGCAGACTCCATCCTGACGTCCAGTCCCGTGGAGCATGGGCAGCACGTAGCCCTCACTGGAGCGGTGTCCCCCATCACCCTCTCAAGTGAAGCCTCGGTCCTTTCTGATGGTAGCTGCCCGCCTGCCCTGACCTCGGGAGACAGCAGTGCCAGCGCCATCCGGGGCTGCTTCTACCGCCTCTCCCTCTCAGATGGAGGCTCTGATTCTGTCTTCTACACTGGCACCGGCTCCGACTCCTCCGTCTTTTACAGCAGTCCCCAGCCTGGCGCCTGCCCCCTCCCAAGCCCCATCCTCATCAGCTCTGACAGTGAGGAGGAGGAGGGCAGAGCCCTGAACACCAGGCTGCAAGGTACAGAGAGGGCTGCAGACACGTCACGGTGGCCTTCGGCTCTGTTACAGCACCATATGGGACACAGAGGTGTCTGGAGAGCAAAACTGCATCCCTTTACGTGATCCACAAGCCCTTGGCTGAGCTCTCCTCTCGCAGCTTGGTGTAAATCTGCAGATCCTCAGGGGTGACGGAGAGCAGATTTCAGCCTTCCTTGTGCAACAACTGCACAAGCGCAGGGGTAGATTTGCCAGGGTTTGTGCACGGTGGAGGGAGTCACTGCTGTGTGTGGGCACACTGGGCTTGTGACATCACCGGGCTCAGGCTGGCCCTCACGACATGGGGATACCCCGTCCCCTGTGGGGTCATCTCGCACAGCAATCCAAGGAGACTCATCGCTTTGGAGAAGAGAAGGGTTGGGTTCATCAGCTCTGGCTGGGTTTGTTCCTCATGTCAGAGGAGACTGTGGTTGGAGATGTGCACCATTTCCCCAGTAACACACAAGCCAAGGCCTCCTGGGAATCTGGCACTAGATTCAATCTCTGTGATGTTCAACTAGTGGTTTTGTTCTAGCATTAAACGGTGGCTTTGCAGATTGTAACATTTCCCAAAGCATTACAGCATTTCCAGAGTTATACAAGGTCCAGGACATCTGTTAGTGCTTTAACTTGTCTGAAAACTGCATGAAACTCTAATAAAAGGCAAAAGGCTTCTCGCATGCTTCATCTAAACGATCCCTCCTCCCCTCCTAGTGCGAGACTGGCATGGCGCTTGCCTTCTGCCCGTCCGCCCACAGCTGGATGCTCACACAGTCCCCACTTTCTTGGGGACTTTCTCCCCTGCCAGCATCCTCTCGTCTCTGTGCTGGCCAGGTGATGTGTCAGGAGAGCCTGTGCGGGGCTCTTACTGCCCTCTCTCTGCAGAAGGTGCCTCTGTGTCCGGCAGCGGTGACGAAGTCGTGGTGGCGGAGAACAGCTCCCTGTGATGCCCTTGTGAGCAGGAGGCAGCTGGGCCAGGTTCAGGTGAGTCAGATCACGCTGTTGGATTGCCCCCGTGCCCAGGGTGGTTGCTGAGCTGCCCCTGGCCCTGTGGGGGTCCCTGGGAGGGTAAGGAGCAGCACAGAGCTCAGCTCGACTGCCTCAAGACTGAAGCAAACCACTCAGGGCTGTGTGGGAGGCTTGGGCACCCGGGCCAGGAGCTCACCACTGCCACTTTCTCCTCGCTCCTAGGAGGCCGGAGCGGGGATGGAAATGAGACAATTCTGGCGGAGGGACAGAAATGGACGTGCAGGGGAACAACACACAGGCGAGCACGGCTTTCCAGCGACGCTGCTCTGGTCATTCATGCCCTGGGCCGTTCCCTCGTGCCGTGCACCCCTGGCTCCCTCAGAGCTCTCCTGCACCTCTAATGCAGGATTGATCCCTCCTCTTCTGCTCTGCCCCTGTTCACTCCTGCCCAGCCGAGCCTTCTGCCCTGCTGGGCTGAGACGCACGCGCCTTGCACTGACACTGCCTCTTGCCTGCCTTTCGGCTCCGTTCTCGGGATGAGGTCCGTTCACCAAAGAAACAGCCATTCTGCCCTTCCTTGAGAGCCAGCCCATGAGGTACTGGCTTTACCCCTTGCCTCGGGAGGAGGCTACGAAAAGCTTTTGGGGACCTAATCCTGGCCCCCAGTTTGATCACACCCCTGTGGTGCCCCTGTGGTGAGTGAGCTCTCCCCTGCTTCGCCCCGATCCCGTGGAGGATGAGGGGGAGCGGGACACCTTGGCCTTGCTCTTGACACTACTTGGAAGAAACGGGCAAAGCCTTTTCTGCCCGACAAGGGTCTCTGCTTCGGTCTGTTCCTGGTCAGATGGATTTTGGAAACGAAACTGGCTGCAGCTCTATAAAATCCAAGAGATCTTCCTATAATAGAAATTTCTGAACTGATTCCCCTGAAATAAGCTCAAGGTAGGCAGTTCTTTCAAACTTTGATTCCAAATTTGACTTTAAAATGGTTTTCCAAGCATCATTTGTATCTTAACCGCTGCGTTGGCCTGTCTTTCCCCTACCCCAAAGGGGACAATGCAATCCTAGCCATTTCTGAAAAATCCCTCACTAGAGAAAAGTGAAGTCTCCATCTCGGCACTAAAGATGAACTAGGGCTTCTTTTTGCCCATTCCTTGCAGGAAATCATGTGGGTAAAATGAAAGCATGTGCCCAAGGCAGAGGGATTTGTAGTGTCGAGCCGGGGTGGATTTGAAGGACTGTAAAGCACTGCATTTAAGATGAGTTTCTTCTGTTTTGTGTTTGGTTTACAAGTTTGCGGTCACTGGTGTGACTTTGTTTCATGCTGTTGGCTCTGTTCAGTTGTGTTTTTATTGTTTTCGCCCCAGCCTGGTTGTTTTTATGGTGAGGGGAAAGAGCCTGTTTTTGTTTCCTGATTCAATAAAGTTGAGCGTTTTAGAGCTAATGGGGTATGATGAAGCTGATCCTTGGACAGCAGGAAGGGAGTCGGAAGTGGGAGGTGAGCTAGAGGTGGGATTCAGATGTGGGTTTGTTGCCCAGGTAACATCTCACTGCAGAACTACTACAGAAATGCAAAATGTCCTTGAATGATTCAAAAATCCATCAAGTGGCCTTTGGTGGCATGGTTTTAGTGGTTTCCCCAGCCAGACCGTTTGCAGCAGGGAGCTGTGTTGGAGGAGGAATTTCACGTTCCCTGAAATGATGGTAACCTGTCGGCATGTGGCTTATCTCTCTCCCTGCACATTCACGCTTCCAGCTTTCACACCCTTTAATACTGCTTTTTGCCCATTTGCACAAGGCCTCATGGGCTTTTCCTGCCTCCACTGGCCCGAGGCACGGTGGTGGTACGGTCACCATGCTGTTCACTCCACGCGCCCACCCCAGGGAGCATGGCCAGGGCTGAGGCAGCAGCCTCGCTCAAGGGGCTACGCCGTGAAGAATGCGTCCTCCCAGGGCAGCAGCAACAGGTGGTCACGTCTGCCTGCCTCGAAGCCCAGGTAGCTGAATACCCCTAGCAAAGCACCTTTGAGACAGAAGAACAGTCACTTTGGAGAGCTGCTGCCTCACGTTACACCGGGGTCCTGTCCACACCGCCATCGGGTAGGAAACAGCAGCAGGAAGGGACCAGGCTGGATGGGAGTGGGGCCAGAACTGATGGTTTTGCTTCTCAGGAAGTCCTGGAGTGTGCCCGTCTGGATCCCAAAGTGCTGCTGAGAGAGGGAAGATCCGGATCTCTGCGGCACAGAGGTGGAAACGACCCATAGAAAACGTCTGGGCCAGCAGCAGACCCCCCAGAATCACAGTGCTGGCCTCTGCTTCAACTACTCTGGCACTGGGTTCAGATGCTGCAGCGCTGCTTGACTGTGGAGTACAGCTGCTTATTGCATATGAAAACGTGGCGGGTTTTCCTGAGATTTGCAGCTTTTGGTTTTGCAGTGAGGGGTGGCAGTATGGCTCCCTGCCCGGGAGGAGTCGGGCACCGTCAACGGAAACCTGGGCCCGGTCAGCCGGTGAGCACGGACGCAATTTCCTCGGTGGCACGTGCCTGAACCCTCTCCTCCTTGCCGAGCAGAAAGGCTGTCACTGTGATCGCTGTTAGGAAGGGAAGCACTTTAATGGGGAAGCTTTAGGAAAAAGCCTCTGCTGGAGGTGCTTTCTCTTCCTGGCAGGAGCCCGGGGATGCTGGGACCCAGCACCTTGGGGGAAATCACGCGGATGCCCGAAGCCGTCCCCCGTTAGCATGGGCCGCTGGCCGGGGAGCCCACGTGCTCTCTGCACTCTGCTTCCCACCCACTGCAGCTGGACGGGCCCCCAGGGCTTTTCCCTGGGGAATATCCCCCCCGACATGACATTCCTCTGCCCCGGCTGCGTTTCCCTCCTGCAGCCGCAGGAGCGCTAGGGCAGGCAGGGGCCCCGGGCTCAGCACTGACCCCGATAAAATCCCCCTTTGTAGCGACCCCCAGCACAGAGCAGCTGTGTATTCCCACGCAGGCCACTATCGAGAAATCGCTCCCTATTGCACACGGAAAATGACTCCCTCCTCTGCCTGTTTTACACCCCATCGTCCCCGTTTGGGGGTCGGGCTCCCCCTGTGCCATCCGGCGGGCGCTCACCTCCTGCGGGAGGAACACGCTATAAAATCCCCCTTTGTAGCGACCCCCAGCACAGAGCAGCTGTGTATTCCCACGCAGGCCACTATCGAGAAATCGCTCCCTATTGCACACGGAAAATGACTCCCTCCTCTGCCTGTTTTACACCCCATCGTCCCCGTTTGGGGGTCGGGCTCCCCCTGTGCCATCCGGCGGGCGCTCACCTCCTGCGGGAGGAACACGCTCGGCAGCGGCTGTGGGGCTCAGGACAACCGGGTCCCGGGATGGGGAAGAGGTACGGAGGTGTGTTTGGGGGGAATTGGGGCAGTTTGGGGGGCAGAAAGGTGCTGGGATGTGTTTTTGGGGGGATGGGGGTGGTCTAGGGGGTAGACAGAGGTGCTGAGGTGTGTTTTGGGGGAATTGGGGGGGTTTAGGAGGG